TATATATATATATATATATATATATATATATATATATATATATATATATATATATATATATATATATATATATAGCAGTGATCCATATGTGCTGAGCTAAAAAATACAGTGAACCCTGAAATGATGGTGCATTAATGTTTTTTAGTATTTCAAAAAGATTTTTTTTCACATTTTAGATCATGCCTATATTAGTTAATATTTAATTATAATGACACAAATATTTTTTTATATTTTCATAGCATTATTAACCATTATCCTAATTTATCTTCTAATTTTTTTTTTTTTTTTTTACAATGAAGAACTTTATATTAAACATTAGAAAGACAATTAAAAGCACAAATCATAATAATAAACATCCTGAAGCAGCCTCAGAGAGCCAGACGGCCACCCTGGCTCTCTTAGCAAGACCCTTAAGGCCTGATCGCTCCCTGGGTGCCCAACGATGGCACCCCACTGCTCCCCAAAGGGATGGGTTAAATACACAGGTAAATTTCTTCAATGTGAGATCAATAAAGTACAGGTCTTATATTATTCTTAAAGATAAGCTGCAAAGACAAAAAAACAACACTTCTACTCCACCAGAAACCTGTAGGTAATTTAAAGCAAGTTACTGTATCTTCACAAATAGAATATCTGGAGGGATTATACAACTACAAGATGTCAGATAGGAGCTTTCCTATGAGCAATGGCTATATTATGAGCCACTTAAATTGTATAAGCATTTCCACCATCAGTGGAACAGTTTTAGTTTGTATATATGACTTAAAATATCTACAAAGGGTGTACTGGCTAATTCCCTGAACCAAATCATCTCCTCAAAGGTATATAAATTTAACATGACGGAGATGTTAACTGAATTTCCATCAGGTAACCTTCATGATCACTGGTGGTTTGGGCTTTCGACGGCGAAGACAAGCAGACAGCAACCAACAGCAAAGTCTCCGGATGGCGAGATCAGATGCTCAGCTGTACAGAGACCTGGCTCAGACTTCGGGAGGCCAGGCTGTTGAAGTCTCTAAAGGTCAGCTGCTCGAGGCCATCAATATCTTAACTGAATCCACCAGCTCTTCTCAGGTAAGAATAAAAGGTCCAGTTGTTCAAATTCAAAGATTTGAAAATTATACTCAAGTTTTATTTTGTAGATTGTCCTTCTGCAAGCAGCCAGGACCCCTGCAAAAGCTGAAAATTTCACTTTTGCAGTCGATGAGTCAGTACAAAACCTGACAGTGTACATCACTGGGACTTCTGTTGATTTTACACTACTCAGTCCTTCAGGTAATTGAGCATATCCTTCTCTGTCTGGTTTTGGCTCATCTACAAGACAGGAAAGATTCATAATGCTTCAAATATTAGTATTGTGGTTAATGTTCCCTCTGATACTGTGCATTAACACAAGCCCCCTGAGTACACTAAGGACTACTGTGAGCAAAATCAGATGTGCGTGCTGAGGCAACACCACTATTAAACTTGTTATGAACCCAGGATCCTCCTTTATTTATTTATATAAATGTATTTTTAGACCATTATTTTTCAGCCACTATTGTGTTTATATCTGATTAATTTTTTTTCTTTTAAATAAACTGATTTTGATGCGATCTATGGAGAACTCAAGTCAACTCCTTTACTTACACACAAACTTGACAAGTAAAACTTATTTTGGATGATTCTGATTCTAAGTACAATTATGTAAAGCTCTCTTAGAAGAAGAAAGAATCTGCCATTGCTGGAACTTTAAACTAAATGAAGGCCTATAGGTCTATTTTTTTGAAAAAAAAAAAAAGTTACTCGTTCTCGTCGTCTCCCGCTTTATCCGGAACCGGGTCGCGGGGGCAGCAGACTAAGCAGAGACTCCCAGACTTCCCTCTCCGCTGACACCTCCTCCAGCTCTGTTGGGGGAAGCCCCGAACTGCCCCAGCGCATGCTGTAGGTCTTGGCAGGAGGGAGCCAGCAGAACTACGTCATCCACAAAAAGCAGGGACGAGATCCGCTGTTCCCCAAACCAGACCCCCTCCGGTCCTTGGCTGCGCTTAGAAATCCTGTCCATAAAAGTTATGAACAGGACCGGTGACAGAGGGCAGCCCTGTCGGAGTCCAACATGCACTGGGAACAGGTCCGACTTAATGCCGGCAATGCGAACCAGACTCCTGCTCCGCTTGTACAGAGAACGGATGGCACCTAGTAAAGGGCCCCCGACTCCATACTCCTGGAGCACCCCCCACAGGGCAGCACGAGGGACACGGTTGAATGCCTTCTCCAAGTCAGCAAAACACATGTGGACTGGTTGGGCAAACTCCCATGAACCCTCAAGCACCCTGCAGAGGGTGTAGAGCTGGTCCACTTTTCCACGGCCAGGACGAAAACCACTCTGCTCCTCCTGCAGCCGAGGTTTGACAATCAGCCGGACTCTCCTCTCCAGCACCCTGGCAAAGGCCTTTCCGGGGAGGCTGAGAAGTGTGATTCCCCGATAGTTGGAACACACCCTCCAGTCCCCCTTCTTGTGGAGGGGAACCGCCACCCCAGTCTGCCAATCCAGGGGGACTGTCCCCGACCTCCACGCGATGTTGAAGAGACGTGTCAACCATGACAGCCCAAAACATCCAGAGCTCTAAGATACTCAGGACGGATCTCGTCCAGCCCCGAAGCCTTGCCACTGTGGAGTTTTTTGACCACCTTGGTGAGTTCAGCCTGGGTGATGAACAAATCCAGCCCCAAGCACCCCGTCTCTTCTTCGCCCACGGAAGGCGTGTCTGTCGGGTTGAGGAGATCCTCAAAGTATTCCTTCCACCGCCCGACAATATCCTCCTTCAAGGTCAGCAGCTCCCCACTCCCACTGAAAACAGTGTTAGTGAAGCACTGCTTTCCCCTCTGGAGGCGCCAGACGGTTTACCAGAATCGCTTTGAGGCCAACCGATAGTCTTTTTCCATGGCCTCTCCGAACTCCTCCCAGGCCCGAGATTTTGCCTCTGCAACCGCCCGGGTCAAGAAACGCTTGGCCTCACGGAACCTGCTTGCTGCTTCAGGAGTCCCACGAGCCAGCCAAGCTCGATAGGACTCCTTCTTCAGCTTGACAGCATCCCTTACTATCGGTGTCCACCACCGGGTTTGGGGATTGCCACCACTACGGGCAGCTGCATCGACAATAGAGGCAGAGAACACTGCCCATTCGGACTCCATGTCTCCAACCTCCCTCGGAACCTGAGAGAAGCTCTCCCGGAGGTGGGAGTTGAACATGTCCCTGACCGAGGGCTCCACCAGACGTTCCCAGCAGACCCTCACTACACGTTTGGGCCTGCCGAGTCTTTCAGGCTTCCTCCTCTTCCAGCGTATCCAGCTCACAACCAAGTGGTGGTCGGTGGACAGCTAAGCCCCTCTCTTCACCCGAGTGTCCAAGACATGCGGCCGTAGATCAGAAGATACGACTACAAAGTCGATCATCAACCTTCGCCTAGGGTGTCCTGGTGCCAAGTGCACCGATGGACATCCTTATGCCTGAATATGGTGTTCATTATGGACAATCCGTGACTTGCACAGAAGTCCAATAATGAAACACCACTCGGGTTCAGAGGACCCGTTCCTCCTGATCACGCCCCTCCAGGTGTCACTGTCGTTTCCCACGTGGGCGTTGAAGTCTCCCAGCAGAATGATGGAATCCCCGGGAGGGGCACTTTCTAACACCCTCTAACACAAAAAAAAGTTATTGCATGCCAAATTAATAACTTTTCGTTACTTTTACATATTTTGATATATTGCTTTTTAGGTGTGATCCAAAATGGAGGCAACACAACAGGATCTTCAGTCATTTCTTCCCGGTCAGTTGGAAACCTCCAGACATTTCAGCTAAGAACAGAACCGGGAGTGTGGGAAATAAGAATGGATTCAACAAATCCCTACACTCTGAAGGTTGTCGGTGAGCCCTTTATTATTCATTTGGCAGATGTCAATCTAATGACATTGGGTCGAAGAAAAGGGGGTGTGCAGATGGTTAGTGCACATGACCCAGGCCTAGTCGTCGATGTGACCGAAGTGTTCTAATCCAGCCTGCGGTCCTTTGCTGGATGTCTTGCTCCCTTTCCTGTCAGCCTACTGTCAGAAAAACAAGCTGCTAGTGCTATAAAAACTCAAAAAAAAAAAAAAAAAAGGATTAAAGCACAGCAATTTATGTTTGTAGACTTTGGTTTATTTTACTTATTTTAAATGCTTTTTTGCATTTGCAGGTGAGAGCTCCATTGACTTTCTATTTGACTTTATTGAAGAGTCAAATGGTCTGTTTGAAGGGTTTAGTCTGATTGAGAACCGACCCACAGCTGGTAACAAAAATTATTTTTTGATTGCAAATTATTTGGATCTGTATTAGTATAATATTAAGAGCTTTTTTCTCTTTGAAGGCAGAAATGCCAGTCTGCTGGTGACACTGATTGGAAGCGACATTGCTACAGTAACAGAAGTCACTCTGGTAGAATCATCAGGTTCGGGTCAGGTTAACGGCACAGTAGAGACCCAGGGTGGAGGGGAATATATTGTCCGCTTTGCCAGGATCCCATCAGTTGAGTTTGTTGTTCTTGTGAAGGGGCAAAACAACAATACTATCACCAGAGCATCCTCAGGGGTCTTCCAAAGGCAGTCCACCACCAGCCTGAGAGCTTCTGTTCTCACTGTTTCTATTGTAAGCACACCAAATCCAAAATCAGATCATTCAAAATATTTTTTTACTGTCTATTTCACTCATGTTTACATACTCTGTTATAGGATGATTCAGATACGGACTTGGAACCAGGAGCAAAAAAATCATTCCCTTTCTCTGTGATGACAACTGGTGGAGGTGGAAACTTCATGATTCGAGCTACCAATGACCAAGGCTTTACTTTAGATTTTCCATCCAGTTTACTCCTGGATGATAAAGGCAGTGCTAATGGTACTGTGAACATCACAGCACCTGCTAACACCCTGTCTGGTGCTGGTGTCACCTTGACCATCGAGGCTGTGGCTCCAGGAAATGCGGACACCAACTATGCTGTGCTGAGGCTAACTGTCCTTTCAACAGTAATGTTTTACTTTATTATCTCAGCATTTTAAGAAATCACTGGGAGTAAATATTAAAGTATTTTTACCGCTATCCTTTCACAGGTGACGGATTTTACTCAGCCAATGTGTCATCTAGTCAATCTACAGGCCAACTGCTCTGACAACTGCAGCCAGTCTATGTGGGAGCTCTCTGTCCAGGTGACTGACGGAGCTAATGGGACAGGGGTGGACAGTGTGACTCTCCGAGAAGGCACAGGCACTTTAAACATCACCATGGCAAACAACACAGAGAACTCCACTTCAGTGTCTTATGTAGCCTCCTGCTGCTCACCTGATGTGCAGCTGGTTGCTGTGGATCAAGTAGGCAATGTGGAAATCTGTAGTTACTCTGTTCGCAGAAATGTCACTCCAGCTGTCAATGAAACAGTCAATCAAACTATAACAACCAGCAGCCCTGGAACAACAGCAGTTACATCGTTTTCTAACAAGGCTGAATTCTCCATTCCTTTCTTAACAGTCATGAGTTTCTTTCTACATTTGTGTAACTGATTATCTGAAAGAATTTTTAATTTTAAAAAATGTATGCTGGTGATGGAAATCTAGTACATGCTATATACACTCGGGTGGTAGGTTACATACTTAATCCAAGACTGTAGGAACACTTTCTGAAAACCAAATGAAACTAAGTGAAATGTAGGTACTTGTTTTGAACATTTTGGGGAGCTTTAAGGACATTTGGCAGTTTAGTAGAGTTAGATCTCTAAACTGAGCTCTGTGTCAAATGTGTGTTGTTGAAATTAAATTTAGTTGAGACAGTGATCATAGTGATTAAGATGTGCTGTCTTGATTTATTCCAGGGAATCGTGTTTTAATACAGTATATATTCTATCAACATGTTTAGAGATTAGAATATTTGATAATTAAGTAAACATTGCTTTTATTCATGCTTGATTACTATCTGATTTACAGACAAGAGAAAAGAGAAATGGAAAACCTAGGTCCAGAAAGACTCAGTAACCCCTTAGACTCTTAGTGCAGCCTGATGTAGTATATCTGTATGTGGATTTGTTTTGTGTTTGAACAGAAAATTAATGCTGAATATTGATGATAAAGCACTTGTAATTATCTTACATGCAGTCTTGAACACTGTGTCAAGCTTGTCCACTTTCTATTCTCCTGCAGTATTGGCTGTGCTATATTTCCTGCTTCTGCACAGCAGATTACATGTATTTGCTATATTTAAAGGGGAGTCTCGCAGTCACCAAGTCATCGCAAGCCATATTAAAAGTCACAGTACAGGTCTACCATAGCCTGACTCTGTCTGAAGGCAGGGAGTTCTCTCTTTGTGTAAAAATCAAATTTACCGCATTATACAGTATGTCAGTTAACTCCCTCTTCTGTAATAACATTAAGCTCTGTTTGAATAAAATACCCTTTAAGATATCTATACTGCCTCAGCCTTTATTTGTTGCCAAAGTCTTTAAATGTTGTCAAAGTCCTCCAACAGTTTTGTTGAAACCATTCAGCAGATTAAGAAGAATAACTGGCAAACAATTTTTATGCTGTGCGCACACATTGTCACTGTGATAATGAGGAGCTGCCTAAATCAGTCATAAAGGCTAGCAATAATCAGCAGAACTTTGTTTTAGTAACACCCAGCCTTAGACAAATTCTTTAACGGGTATTTTTGCCTATTTCAGAACTAAAAATCCCAATAGCTATAATCTGCAGTTTGTCCAAAAGTGTTTTTTTTTTAATCCTTGACATAAAGATACTACCTAAGGATATTCTAGTGGGAATCCTATTTCCAAGGCTTCGGGCAAAAATCATAATTTGTAGTTGATAAGGCTTTAGAAATCGATGCCTTTGTCAGTCCTCTTGTTGGGAGCTGGAGAAGTTCCACCTTTCTCCAGCAGAGTCCGCCGTGGATCCTCTGAGGGAGCCTCCTGCACAGCTGCAGTTCATCAAGATCATCAGAGGATCCACTACTTAAGCTGTCTTCAGACCTTGCCTCAACGCCGCAGTGTTGTTCCAGTTGGTCAGCGCTTAAGCCTAGATCCTCAGTGAAACTTTATGATTTTGAATCCAGCCTGGATTCTAACCATTGTCTCTGTCTTCCAGGAAACCAGTGTCTCCTCTGTGAAGCTCAGGAAGAGCTAACCTGCGGAGCCGACCCTCTGAGCCAAACCTGAAGAATCCTAGAGAACCTCCAAGCAGCTCAGGGCTAAGAGCTGGAAAACCTAAAGCCAAGGTCTGCGCATTACTAGAAGTGAGACGCTGAAGCAGCTAGCGGACTCTGCTGATGAACCCCTCTCCAGATCCAACAGAGACTCTCCCAAAGCTAAACCTCAAGAACCCTCAAGGTACAATCAGTAAGCTTCTGGAAATCAAACCTCTGTTGGCAACGCTAACTGAACTGTCTCTCACGCAGACTCCGGTGAACCAGTATCCAGGCCCCGAACCCGAACCAGTACATTCTGTGTGCTTGAGCAAAATAAACTTGTTAAACTTTCATCCCTGTGTCCGTCAGTGGTGTTCTGCACACTTGGGTCGCCTTTAGTTAACCCATCATGACACCTCTAACCTTAAAGTGGTGACCATGCATTCTGAAAACAATTGCAAACATGGTGGAAAATGACGGACACCTTTTAATTTTAATTTTTTTTTTTTTTCGGACATTTTACTGTGCCTTTAGTTATGAGATTTAAGTAAAAATGATCTAAATCTTTGTGGTCAGCAGCCGACTATTGTGATTCATAACACCTTGGTTGGCAACACACCACATTATATTGCTAACTTATAGGACTTCTCCAACAGGATAAAGGACCAGACACTGGACACGGATTAAAGCATGGTCTCCTATGATGTCACATCTCTTTTTTCTTGCATTCACACCACAGAGGCAGTCTCAATAGTAAGGATGTGCTGACTTAAAGACTGCACTCAGCCAGATAGGACCAACTTGATCACTGACCCCATCTGTTATATTTTGGACTTGTGCATCACCACAACATACTTCCAATTCAACTAAGATTTCTTCAGGCAGAAGCATGGATGTGAGATGGGCTCACCTGTGTCTCCCATAATGGCAAACTTATATGTGGAAGAAGTGGAAAGCAGAGCTTTACACTCATACATAGGAACAAAACCCAGTCATCAGTTCAGATACGTGGACAACACATGGGTCAAAATAAAGACAAAGGATATCAACATGTTCACAGACCACATCAACGCAGTGGACAGAAACATCAAGTTCATCTGAGAAGATGTGAAATATGACAGTCTTGGTTTTTCTGGACTGCACGGTTAAACTTCATGAAAGACAGACAACTCAACATAGAAGTCTACAGGAAACCCTGTTTGACTCACACATCCCACTGGAACAGAAAACTAGGGGTAATCAGAACCCTCCAGACACGAGCAGAAACCATTCCCAACACCAAAAGAAGGGAGATGAGAGATCAGGGACATATCAGGAAAGCCCTGATGAACTGTGGTTGTCCCAGATGGTCTTCTTTAAAAACCAACAAGATTAGGCCTGCTGAGAGGGAATACAGAAAAAGGAAAATCGTCATTCCATGTTGCTTGAGTCTCTGAAAAACTCAAACCAGCAGACAAAAACTGGTTAACCCCAAAGATAACACACCCAGAAAGAAGACAGACAATGTGTTTACAGTGTTCAATGTAGTGAATATTGCACAGACCTGTACAGAGACCAAGCAAACGCTACACAGGTGCATGGCTCAAAACAGGAGGGCCAACTCCTCAGGACAGGACTCGGATTTTCCCCTGAACCTGAAGGCTAAAGGACACTCGTATGAGGACAACAATTTCCGTATTCTGGCCAAGGAAGACAGATTGTTTGAGAGAAGGGTTAAGGAAGCCATCATACATCATTTACTGCAATGCTGTTACTCTGGTTCTGAATCTTGGTTTGTTTTCTAAGACCTGTGTTCTGTTCAAACTATATCTAACTGATCTTCTTTGTATTTTGTTCTTTTCCTTTGCTTCTTCAGTTTGCATTTTAAGATTTACCTAAATTAATTATTTCCCTTCAGACATGCCAATGTATACCCTTAGTCAAACTTTTTTATATTCACTTTACTGGTTTATTCATAGTTTACTGTTTTATTTAAGGTCATTATTTATTTTGCTCTCAATTACCGGCTTAAATCCCACATGGACTGTTCCAGCTGAACAAACTGAATCTATATGGATCCATATGCGTTTATAGTTTGTTTGTTTTTTAAATATCCCCCCTTTTCTTTTTTTTAACAGCAGTAATAAAAACATGAGGAGGGCATGTCTCATCAGATTACATTTGTTCTATATCATGTCAACCACAAATGCAGAAATTTTCAGACCTCTACAACAGTTCAAGAACTGCGGGGCTTTGAACTTTTAGTGTCACCAGCGTCTCCAAACCTCTCCAAATATGCCAGATTGTGCCAAATGCTTTTACTCAACTTTTTGATCCATAGAATAACACTGAAGCATTTTGATGGCCACAAAACATTTATGAAGCAAGTATTTTTCTGCTTTTTTAGAATCAGTGTATAAACAAAATGTAACATCTATAAACCTAAAATAACATAAAAATTGATAAAAGTAGTGAAATAGCTGCTTTTCAAGTTAAAATAAGCTCCAGTGGCTTTTCTGTGGTGATTTTTTATTTTTATTTTTTTCCAGTAATAAAACAAAAATCAGCGTCCAAACTTCAAAAATATCAGAGCGTTGTTAGTAAACAGCTTCAAACTATGCGCACTGATCCAGTCTCAGCAGTGTATTTCACTTTTATGCAATCCGGTAACACGGCTGTGCTGTATGCAACCCAGCCATGTCTACCCTTGTTTGAAACCTTATTTCATTGGCTACAAAAACAAACATTCCACGTGGTCTTAAAGGTGGGAGATCTTTTCTGATTTATTTTTTACCAATTTGGCTTGAAGATCTCCCCACAGTCCTGTAGCAAGCAGTGAAATAGAAGGTCTGGAAGTGAAAATTAAATAAATGGTCCCCGCTACAGTGTGAAATCAATGAGTAACATCTACCAACCACAAAACACGGTCCGTTGTACACTATTGGTTCCTGACATCATCATGGTCGTCTGCTTGTCCCTCCCCCCCGTGTGTGTACCCTGACAAATGAAAAAATCTAACCCCTAATGCTTGTGCAGGACCCCATAGCCACTGTTATGCTTAAGTTTACTTCTGCGGCTGAAGCATCTCTGCTGCTCTAGCTGCGCAGCGGAAAAAGTGGGTCTAATGCGTGTTGGGCAGAGCTACCCTATCCTGCCTGTAACAATGGCAGCTATATTTGCTGTGATCAGTGGGAATAAAGTAGTTTTAATGTGTTTTTAAGTGGGAAAATCCACCTGAAAACTTAATCAGTGCAGTCAGTTCATCAACTCACGACGTGCTGCTTCAGCTTCTCAGATGCGGTGCTGCTGCTGCTCAAAACGTGCTGTGGGACATTTAGCTGCGCCTTGATGCACGTCAACCATTGACTTCTCATGTAAACTAGCTGCTCCTGCTGCCTTTGCTGCTTTTGGTGTGAATGTTAGCATTAGCTTGTGTCACGAGTGCTCGATCTCGGCTTGTTTCGTTAACGAGCCAAGACCGAGCTGAACACCTGGACAGACAGCATGCGCGTTCATGTTTTTTAAAGGTGTGGTTTCGAGGGGTGGTTTGAAGGGAAAGTTGTGTATGTTAAAAAATATAGCTTGCTGCAACCGTTTTTCCAAGATCTCCTACTGCACCTTAACCAATAACAGCAGGACTCTATGAGGCATAATATCTACTCGTTGCGTCATTGGCTGACAGGCAAGGAGTGCTTGTGAGACTTAATCAGCTGTCCCTGACTCAAATAAAGTCATACAACAGAAGGAACATGTCATACATTCTGCCCCATCTATCACCACTGGGCTCTCTCCTTTTTGTGCTGTGTTTGGTTTTCAGCCACTGGTGTTCATAATTCTTTTTTTTAATTGTCATTACGCTGTCACAGGTACAGAGAAATAAAATTAACTCTCTGCATCAATCCATCCCCTTCGGGATGCAGTGGAATGCCATTGTGTGGTGCCTGGAGAGCCGTGTGGGGTTAAGGGTCTTGATCAGGGACCCACAGTGATAGTCGGTGGGAGTGGGGCTTGAATTCAGAACCTCTGGATTCCAAGGACAATACCCTAACCACTAGGCCACACTCCCCTATAAGAATGCTGACAGGCAGTCTAAGCCTATAACAGCATAACTATCAAGATAGCCCAGGATAACCTAAACTACTATACTTTAACTATAAGCTTTATCAAAAAGGAAACTTTTAAGCCTACTCTAGTAGACAGGCTGTCTGCCTCACATACTAAAACTGGTAGTTGGTTCAGCAAGAGAGGAGCCTGATAAAAGATGTGCCTCCCATTCTGCGTTTAGAAATTTTAGGAACCACTTGTAAACCTGCAGATTGAGAGCAAAGTGCTCTGTAAGGCCCCCAAGGAATATTCATATTGCTGATGTGACAGAGCTTGGCCATTTAGAAGGAGGGGTGAGAAGGAGGATTTGAAATTCTATTCTGGATTTAACAGGAACCCAATGAAGAGAAGCTAGGATAAAAGAGATATGATAACTCTTTTTAATTTTCATCAAAACTACACTGTGTGCAGAATTATTGGGCAAATGAGTATTTCAACCACATCATACTTTTCATACATGTTGTCCTACTCCAAGCTTTATAGGCTTGAAATCCAACTACCAATTAAGGAAATCAGTTGATGTGCATCTCTGTAATGAGAAGGTGAGTAGCCCAATGACATCAATACCCTATATAAGGTGTGCTTACTGATTAGGCAACTTTATTTCCTTTGGCAAAATGGGTCAGAAAAGAGATTTGACAGACTCTGAAAAGTCAAAAATTGTCAGGTGTCTTTCAGAGGGATGCAGCAATTTGGAAATTTCCAAGCTTTTGAAGTGGGTCATCGCACAATTAAGCGGTTCTTGGCAAATAGCCAACAGGGGCGCAAGAAGCGTGTTGAAAAAAGAAGACGCAAAATAACTCCCCATGAATTGAGAAGGATCAAGCGTGAAGCTGCCAGGAAGCCATTAGCCACCAGTTGTGCCATATTTCAGAGCTGCAACATGTCTGGAGTGCCGAGAAGCACAAGGTGCTCA